CTGCAGGGGGACAAAGAGAGGGAACAGAAATAAAACAATACATTAAGATACCATTCAAAGATTCAAAGGTTTTATTGTCTTGTGCACAAAGCTACAGTGTAGAAATGGCAATGAAATTCTTCTGACCTGAGCTCCTCCAACAATGCAACATATATAATTAAATACAAAAATACAAAATAAAAAAGTAGTGCAAAAAGTCTATATACATGTAAATAGAATATGTTATGTAAAAGAACAGAATATGTAATAAAATAATGTAAATTAAGACTTAAGGTTTATTACGTGGATAACTATTTATATAAATACGTATATATATATTAGATTAGGTGAGAGTAAGCTCAACTTTATTCTCATTGCACATAGTTCTGAGACAACAAAATGCAGTTAGCAATTAACCAGAAAGGCAAGAGAAGCAGTAACGTGCAGAGTAATGTTAAGTATAATATAGTAAGTATATACGGAGCCGTTTCAGGCAAGGGGGAGTGTGTGAGAGAGACATTTTCTCCTTTGCAGACCATTTACATGCACACAAACCAATATAACACACTACAGGAAAGGAAAAAACCCAAAATTGTTATAGGGCGTATTAAAGGTCGAAGTTTGAGACTCAATTTAATTACAGTTTTGCAAAGTCTATATGCTGATTGATATGTGATTTGTTTGATAGCCATAAGAACTTCTAAATAAACCTTTAATAATTTGCCACAGGGAACTTAAACTAAATAGTTTTATAATCAGCTCTTTGAGGAGTTGAATGTTTTCTCACCTGAGGAGAGGCAGCGTTTAACAGCCGTCGATTTAAAATCATCCGTTTTTAATAGGGAGGAGATGGACTATTTTAATTGCTTATAGCATAAATGTGATCAATTAGTCACGATATTCAGCCGAGAGGATCCAACAACATTTCCTGTTAGTGAGCGTCACTCTAAAAGCTATTCAGACGCAGCATTAACGTTAATTACACGCTACGATGAAATAGCTTACTGCTGCAGAGGAGATGATACTGAGGAAATAATAGATATCTGATCACACCTTCAGAGGACTTTAACAGCTAATAAGCACCCTTACATGTAGCACTCTCACACACACACACACACACACACACACACACACACACACACACACACACTAATACATGCACACACACGCAGAGTAAGTGGGAGGACAAATGACGCGGAGTGTGTCGTTGCATATTCATCCTGTGCAGAAGAACACAGAGCAAACGCACTTCACAATAAAACATTGTCATCTAATACATGGCCATCTTCACACACACACACACACACGTACCCACACACACACGTACCCACACACACACGGACCCACACACACGCACACACACACACACACACACACACACACACACACACACACACACACACACACACACACACACACACACACACACACACACACACACACACACACACACACACACCACACACACACACACACACACACACACACACACACACACACACACACACACACACAACCACACACACACACACACACACACACACACACACACACACACACACACACACACACACACACACACACACCACACACACACACACACACACAACACACACACAGATGGATGGTGTTGTGTCTTTAGAAGAGAGCAGTACCAATCCATCATTTTCCACAGAGAAGGAGAAATAAAGCTTGCCTCAAGCCTGCATGTGGTTGTGCATTTGTTTGTGTTGTGTGTGTGTGTGTGTGTGTGTGTGTGTGTGTGTGTGTGTGTGTGTGTGTGTGTGTGTGTGTGTGTGTGTGTGTGTGTGTGTGTGTGTGTGTGTGTGTGTGTGCAGCCACGTAATAAAGCCATATGAAGTCTTCAGGCTCTGATAGAAATGAACTCACCATCTCACATATTCCCTTAAGATTTTAAGCTTCGTAACAGTAGTGGAAACTTTACACATTTCGACTTTTAATACTTATTTAAATACAAATACTTCAGTAGTTTTACTTAAATACCATTTTGAAGGTAGAACTTGTAACCTAGTATGAGTACACTGTGTTATTACTACTTTAACTTAAAATATCTTCTGAGTACATTTATTAAAGTGCTGTACTCATGAAAAACTTGCAATTTAATTGGTCTTGAATTGGCTCCTGAATTGGGACACAGCTGCATGCAGTGTCGTGTTTATGCTAATGTCTCACAAATAATTAAAAGACACACTATAAAGTAGTCTGTAAAGTGTGTGTGATATGAAGAAGAAGCTGGGTGTGATGGATGAAGGAGCAGAACATCTCACACTGACTGAATGTAGGTCTTGTAACACACTTTTATCAGTATATACTGCGTGTGTGTGTGTGTGTGTGTGTGTGTGTGTGTGTCTCTCTGTGTATGTGTGTGTGTTTGTGTGTGTCTGTGTGTGTGTGTGTCTGTGTGTGTGTCTGTGTGTGTGTGTGTGTGTGTGTCTCTCTGTGTATGTGTGTGTGTTTGTTTGTGTGTGTCTGTGTGTGTCTGTGTGTGTGTGTGTGTGTGTGTGTGTGTGTCTCTCTGTGTATGTGTGTGTGTTTGTGTGTGTCTGTGTGTGTCTGTGTGTGTGTGTGTGTGTGTGTGTGTGTGTGTGTGTGTGTGTGTGTGTGTGTGTGTGTGTGTGTTAATGTGTCTTCATTCCCATAAGATGTGAGTGAGGGCTGAGAAAGATGAAGTTTCATGCATGGGCGAACCAGACCGACAGCTCCAGCAGAGAGTGTGTGTGTGTGTGTGTGTGTCAGAGTTCCCGTTAGCCGGTAATTACCGGACAATGACCGGTAAAATATGCTGAAGTCCGGCAAATCTAAATCTCTCCGGTCAAAATGTCCGGTCAAAATAATTTTCCCTTAGCGCAATACCGCATCAGTTGCGCCACTTATGTGACAGACAAGAATAGTATGTGACAGACAAAAGAGTATGTGACAGACAAAAATTGTCAATTCTAATGTCTAACACTTAATGTGGAGAAAGAGATGTCCTGTATGGGTTGATTGTGCGTTGATCTGTTGGTAATGCCTCGGGGTTCCGGTGGGCATGTAAACAAATGCATAATGCTGCGCTATACTTTGTGGCCTCATCCGGTTGCATAGCGACGCTTATTGTTTAGGTGTCTTTTAACAAGCAGGTAGTCATATCATTAGCTAGAACTAGCTAGATCTGATCGATATGGACATAAATGCGAGTAAAGTCTAATCTGACAGGAGAGAGAGATCGGCTGCTGCTGACGAGTCGACACGCAGCTCTGCATGATCCCCTGCAGCGGCGAGCAGAGCAAAACACACTTCAGGTTAGAAAATCACACGTAGCTATTTTAATTACCTCTCAAACTACCTAAACTAGTTATAGATATGTTTAGTTTTACTGTCGGGTCACTCATTACTGGATCCGCGAGCTGCATGATACTGACGGGCTGTCAGGAGAAGGAGAGAGCGCTCCGTTTATTATTCCCGCGTTTTTGTAAATTACTGTACACTTTTGAATAATGTAGTTAATCTACTATAATTAGTTTGTTTAATGTCGAATCATATCAATTTGTTTTAAAGCTCAATAAATAACAAAGAAGACCTTTAACCGGCACTTATCTAATTTTGTCCGGAAGATTTCAACTTTAACGGACATGTTGACCGGCAAAAAAATATTCTAACGGGAACTCTGGTGTGTGTGTGTGTGTGTGTGTGTGTGTGTGTGTGTGTGTGTGTGTGTGTGTGTGTGTGTGTGTGTGTGTGCGTGCGTGTGCCAAAGGATGACTTCAATCCAATCCATTTCTCAATTTCTCAGTAACCAGCCCATGGCTCTGTGACAGTTAATTCAATCGGTTTCAAACCAAGTGCTCCTCTCACAAGACGAATCTCAGGACTCTGAACTCTAACTTCCTCCTCACATCTGGAGCTGTTACGCTGCAGTTAACTCACACTTTAATGCGACAGACAAAACTCTCTCCATAGATCCCTTCTCCATTTCCTTTTTCTAGAAGAGTTTTAAGCAAAATACAAATAACATAATATCTTGAAAGGAAAAGAGAGAGAACAAAACTCATCTATAAGAGACTGAAAAAATATTTCCCCAGCTGGCTCTTAGAAAAAGCTGATTTCATATTTCTGTACAAAAACATGTTTTTAAATGAAAATTTAGCAGCTGAGAGCAGCTGACAGGTCAAAATGTTAATGTGTTGTAATTTAATCGCATTTAAAAGAGTACTCAAATTAGCATTTAAAAGAGTACTCAAATTAGCATTGCAAACCCTCAACATTGCCAACCATATTTTGTTTTTCATTTTTTTCATTTAGTGTTGCTTGCTTACTGGTTTTCAATTAAGGCACTGCAATGTGTTGTAGCATAATGTTGTTTATCTATTGGAAAACTTGAATTACAAATTAAACTTTGAGAGACAGTTTAAGAGATGATCAAGATTGATGCAGCAGACCTGAGATATTGTCTCAAATATCCTTCTTCTTATGTGCGTACATTACCCACAATGCAATTGAACTGCAACCAGTTTGAATGAATATTACATTACATTACATGTCACTTGTTAGACGCTTTTATCCAAAGCGACTACATACTCAGTACTGTGGGCAATCCCCACAGGAGCAATATGGGGTGAAGTGTCTCAGGGACACAACGACATGTTGACTGCCTCACACGAATATAAGGCACCCGTCCACACGGAGACGATTTCAGTTGTATCCGCTAAAGTTCTTTATCGTATAGCTGGTTCGTCCACACGAGGCCGAAACGGAGCCGCGGCTTCGGAGCCCGAATCCGATACACTTTGATAACGGCTCCCAAAGTGGGTAAGTCTGGAGACGAAACGCTTGCGGCTCCGTGTGTACGCCCGAAACGATCATTTCCTGAATCGATGACGCCATAGCCCCGCTTCTCCTGCTCACCCCCGCGTCATTGCTGATGCGTTTCGCCAACAACAACAACAATGGCGGATCACAGGGTTGCGTTCTTGCTCCAGACGCTACTGACCATGATACAGAATTGACCTTTTTCTACCTTG